TTTTGTGCATTTGCAAGCTTACAAAAGAGCCCGAAAGTAATCCTCTATGGCCGAGAATGATCAAATATAAGCAGAAACGTGAGCCCTCTCATTTGGAGTAAAATTAAGATCACTAATCGTCAGGTAAATTAAAAAAATCTTGCCGAAAATCTCCATTTTCATTTTAGAATAATCTGGCAAAAGGTAATGGGCATAGAAATTCGTCAGGAGAATTAAAGTGCTTTTGAAAGAGGTAACCCATTATAGAATGTTTTTTATTAATCTTAAGAATAATAATAATAGCAGATTTGTTAGGACGCCCTTTTTGCCAGACAATGTTTTACCTGTATGGAGAGATATCTAAATATGGTCCCCTTAGCCATCTTCATATGAACTAGTATACACAAACTCCTGTTATTCGGAAAATAATTTTAATCGATAAAATATGTTAACGTTTCTGTTCAAAAATGCTAACGGAAACTGGATTTATGAATGAAAGCTTCAAGACCTAAAAGCACTGGAAAATGTATCAACATTTAAAAGTCCTTCTCTAAATTATTGTATTAAAATACGTTCACTAAGGAAAAGTTGTTTTTTTATAAAATGAAAGTGCTGCTATGATTCATTGAACTTAATTAATGGCCATTTTGTGTCTACAGAACTCGGGGATTATCAAGGAAATTTCGCTTTTCTTAACAAATATGTAGTGTTTTTTTAATTTCTTTTAAGTTACACATTGTTGTTCGTTATTTCTTCCAAGTCTTCGTACATGTGTTAATGCCGGTTTGCGAATGATAATATTTCGCAAATCTCGGCATGTTACATGATGTATGCGCCAAACAGATAATGCATTTCTAAAGGTTTGATCCCACGCCAGTGATTAGTTAGTAAGTATGTTAGTAAGATAGTAAGTTATCTTAAGAGGCAGAACACTATTGGGTAAGACATATTGTGCCCGTAAAATAATGTAGCGTAATTAATTCTCCATCATCCGAACTATAAAATCAAGCATTTGCTGACGAAAGCATAATGCAATGTATTTAATAAATAAAAAAATTAAAAAGAACAACACGTATGAAACGATAAATATCTAGTAAAGGCACGGTTCAGGCTTGCAAACCCTCATGAGGCACGTCAACAGACGTTGGAATGTCCATCAGACTCCAGTGGACCTGCCACACCAATGGACTGACGATCCGTTCATTCTGGCGCCGCGCGAATACGGATTAACAGCATGGACAAATCTCGGCTCGAATCGTTCTCTAATCGCCGCGCTCGTTTCGTGCATTCACAATGCAACATCCGCAGTAGCATCCGCCTGTACCTGCCCCAGTAGACAATGTAGACAAAAAAGTTCGCTGTGGAGTTCAGTTGGGAGCCCAGGGCCGCCACATAAGAGCATATGTGAAGGGCGACCAGGTAGACACATGAAGAGGGCAAGATGTGGCGTGAAATAAGCTGGATTATGCTCACAGGCACCAGAGGCAACATAAATACAGTGAAAGTGATAATGACAATTAGGAGGCCACGAGTCAGCCTGACCCCCCGAGCAGCATTTCTGGTGGTACTCGTGCTCTCTCCATTCATTTCAAGCGGTGGAGTCTGCCGCTCCCTTTGCTCCCGACGAAAACGATCCGACCGCCGGAGACCACGTCCAACGTGTACACCACAGACCACGAGGATAATCCACGGGATCAGCGTGACCACGACGCTATCGGTCCACGAATGTATTTGGTAAAGCCATGACGCCACCCCTGACCGCTCTGGTCCCGCATTCTCAAACGCCAAGTAGCAGATGAGGGGAAGTCGAATCAAGACGGAAAATCCAACAGTGGCAGCTATGAGGTGATTAGTGAGCCTCCCATTCCACCACAGTTTGCTGTGAACAGGAAAGCAAACGACCAGAAAGCGTTCCACGCCGATGAGAACAACCAACCAATTCCTCAGACTTTCTAGAATATTTACCAGGGAAAATATGGGCAGCAGGTATCCAATTGACTTGTAGAACTTCATCCACGTAGAGTTTGATCTGCAGCATATTAGCGGTTGAAGATAGAGCAGAGAGAAGAAAAGAAAATGTACGTCAACCAGTGACGTGAAGATGAGGAGCTTACGAGTTGTTCGTGGGGTCGACGTGTCTCGACAAAACAAACAGATGCTGAGAGCACTGGTGACGACGCCGACCGCGCAGACGGGAATGCCGATGACTGAGAGGATAATGAATCGGTTGTAATGAAGAAAATCGGCGTTGGTTGGTCCTCCCAGCCAGGTGACCTTCGATAAACAGGAACTGTTTGCATTCGTAGATGCGTTCGCAGACGCGTTTGTAGCCATTTTTTTGTCCTGTTGCAAAGTCAACTGACGTTAACTGCTTTGCTGCAAACCCATTGTATAAAGGTATGCCTTGAAATACCGCCCAACAATTTGCAATTGCTAGGGTTTTGCCGATTATAACTGGATAGCAGTTCAGCCAATAGGAAGAGAATAACGACGACCGTAGGGATTAGGTTTAGTGATAAATAGCACTGATATGCGCCAATTGTGATTTATACTTGGACAAATTTGGGATTGGGTTTCATCTGCCGCATATAATGTGCCACAGTTTTTTCGGACCTTTCAATTCAGAACGTAACGAAAAAACGTCAAAACTATTAATTGCATTAAATCCTTCGTGAATAACGCGTCGTGGTAGGTTTTAAAGTCGTCTTACAAAGTGCATACTTTTAACATGCGATGATAAAATTTTAATTGTAAATTATCGGAGAGACCTTCTAGTAAACAGATTGATTTCATATTATGAAGCCTGGTACCATTTTTTTATCTAGTGATAATAGATACGGCAAAGGAATGATTACACAACTTGGCTTATTTGGATTCAAAACAGACTGCGAAATGAAAGTAAAGTAAATATGCAGTGAAGAGTTTACCGTCCATGCTACGCTTAATCCGTTAACGGAAACAATATTTTCCGCAGATTGTACTTATTATCCATATCAAAAAGACGTTTTACGAAACATCTTGTTCGGGTATGAGATATGCTGCATCCGTCAATTTCGCCCATTACGGTTGTGTTTGATTTGGTGGTACCAGTTTTGAATGTTCATGGGTAAAATTCATTTTATCGGATTAGCCCTCTCCTTCCAGTATATCATCTTGCAATACAAACTACCTCAGTAGTCACTGTTGCTCGCGTTCGAATTGCGTTAGCGCATCAGGTTATGGCAAATAATTGCCTCAATACAAGCGAATATGGGAGTCCAAGGAAATAATTGAGAAGAAGAAGCATAGGAGGAAAAGAAGAAGCAGATTCGACTGCATCGCTGCAAAGTGACTAAATGTATATGAACAGGTAAATGACCAACGAAGTCAACAGAGACTAGACGACCCGTTTCTGGCGTATCAGTCGTCGTTAGTTGGGCATATCCAATTTCGGGGTTACATGTCCAAAACCTTATTGGTGAATGCACTCTTGACCAGCTTATTGTTCCTGCTATAAAAGTGTAAGACGTCGAATTTCGAAATACTAAATATTTAAAATCCAAAGACACCAGATTCCATGCTTGAGCGCAATAGCTCGTATATGCCATATTTCTAACTAAAAATGTAACCTTGCAAAAAACTCTTTACCAACTCAGTATTAGATGTTTTTGTCTAGCATTTATTTCACAGATACACGCACTCTTCTTAACTTTCGAAGGACATCCGTTGCGGACGGCTCTCCGTAACCTTAAATGTTTATAAGATATTATAAGAAACTGTTGACCTGACAATATACCGTATATCGGTATATTTAAGGTTTATAGGCGTAGACCGAAATTTTAAGTGTATATCTGGGTTGAAACCCGTCAACCACTGCGAAATATCCACAGACAGGGAAAGCTGGGAGATTCACTGGTGAGCCGGACCTCTCGCAGCTGTGTGAAGCAGCGGCAAGATACCGGCGAAAAAAATGTTTGGGCCTTTTAGCTAGTACCTAGGCTGTTATTATGGTAACTTACAACCTCAGTTTGTGCTAGTGAAGTCTGTCTGTCGGCAGGAAGTGGATATTTCGCAGTGGTTGAGGGGTTTCAACCCAAATATGCACTTAAAATTTTGGTCTACGCTTATAAACCGCCAACAGAAATTAATTTCTCAGGAGATTAAAAATCTGAAATTTCAGCCTCGGTATATCAACCAGAAAGCAGTTGTGTAAA